TCTCACTATGGTAGCCAGAGCAGACTGTGAAAGACTAGAGGTGTATGTTGGAGGGTAAAAGGGACAGAGTGTCTGGAAGTACATATAAGGAAGTGAATATACTAGACCCTGAAGTCCAGAGAGGAGGGAAGTGAACATGGTGGTGGGTAAATGACAATACAAGTTAAGTAAGATCATTTGATTGGAAGTCTCAAGGCACTAGAGGCATTAGATGAAAAATAGGATAGTAGGAAAGATAGATGTTTGACATTGAATTATGGAGGAGTTGTTTTACAGGTAATGGTAAGGTCAAGGAATATGACTATAAACAGAAGACAAATTTATTGAAGGTGAGAAGTCAGAGAACTGAGAAAACAAGGTATTGAATGAAGTGTCTGGGTGGACATTGAAATCACTGAGTAAATACTGGCAGCTGATGGAGAGATAGACAGAAATTCAGATGGCAAAATATTCAAGGGGTGGATATAGATATAAGTACATAGATATGAGTGGCATTTGGAAGCAAAATCAATAGGAATTGGTCAAGAATTAAAATGAGATGGAAGAAGGCCAGGGAGAGGAACCATTAAGAATAACCCAGGATAACAGGTTCCTGACTTCAGAGAGTGGATGAATCATGGTAACATTGGTAAGTTAGAGAAGGCTGGGAAAAGATATGTTGAATTTGAAGTGATTTTGGAATATCCAACTACAAATATTGACTACATGGGCTAATATTTTGGTCTGGTGCTCAGTGGAGTATTCATCCTGGAAATAAATATCTGTGAAGTATCTGGTGATAGGTGGTAATTGAATACATGAGAATGGTGGCATTGCCTAGGAAGTAAGGGTAGAAAGAAAGGAGACATCCAAGATGATGTATTGAATAACATCAGTATTTAATGAACAGGCCTTCAAGGGAGACTGGTTAGGAAGGAAAAAGAGACATAAGGAAAGTAGGAGAATATGCAGCCATAGAAACCAAGAGAAGAGCGTTTAATATGGAAGGTGTAGCTAATATTTATGTTGAAAGTTAATGAGGAGCCAAATAGGCTGAGACCATAAAAATGTCATTGGATTTGGAAACATGGAACCATAGGAGAAAGTAGAGATTGGTGACTAAGGCAGAGGAGAAGAAAAGGAGAAATGAATAAGCAAGGTAGACCATCCTTTGAAGAATTTTTGTTGCAAAAGGGGATGAAAAGAATGGTCCTTGGAGGGATCCATGGGGCTAAGGATGAATATATTTGTAGTATCTTGGTTAATATGTAATTTTATTTTCAAGATGGCAAAAACTTGAGCATATTTAAATCTTAATAAAATAAATATAATTGGGAACGTAACATAAATTATAGTGCAAAAGTAGGAGGGGATGGATTCCTAACTGCAGGTGATGAGATAGATACTAGTATAACAGGTGGTAAAGGGAGCAGGCTGGCCCAGAGCACCATCTGCCATCGTATTGTGTTGTCTTCTCTCTTCCTGGGTGATCTACGTTATCCTTTTTACAAAAGAGGATTATGGGGAGGGGGGTGCAGTGGGGTTTATGCTCTCAGAGCCATGAGGAACATGGAGAAAAGCAGCTCCACCTGCTGCAGGCAGGTGTGTGGGGTATCAGAGAGGGAGGAGCTACCACTTGAGCAGGTAGATTACAGGAGAAGCAGCCTTGCCAGGTTTCTGCTAAAGAAAGGTGGTATTCAGAAAAGACATAGAAAAGGCAGGGTTTAGGTAGCTCATGATGACTGAGAAAAAAGATTGTTATTGGCAAAAAGAAGACACTTTTCAAACCCAAATGAAGCAGGTTCAGAAGCAGTGTAGCAGAATGGTGGCGGTTACTGGGAAATACTATAAAGTGAACGGCAGACTCTTTCTTTGTTCAAGGAATTTGGTTGTAAGAGAAAAAAAAGGAAGATGGAATTCAAATTCTATTTATTTGTTCTCTATAGACCAACTAATGAACTATATGATTTCACTTCCATTTTGGTCTTTAACATGATCTCTATTTATATTGTTTTTTTCTGTACATAATAATTTTCAAACTCCCTTCTCCTGAGCCATTGTTCATGCTTTCCCTCCTGCCCAGAATACCCTGCACATCATTTTTCAGCCTTTTTGAGCACCACACTTTCTAAGACCCATTAAAATCTACTTCTCTACTTTCTATTTGTTTTATGCTTTTTTTTCTAATGTGAAATAATGTTTGTTGTAAAACCATTTGGAAAAGACATGAAATTAGCAATTAAAAATAACCCACATAATACTGTCATTTAGATATATCATACTGTATATATTATTTTTAACACTAATACTTCTAAAATTGATAAGTATTTATGTTCACTAAATATTTATAATAACAACATTTTAACGACTGCCTAATTTTCTGTGGTATAGATGTAGAATAATTCACATAAACATTCTTCTTTTATTAGTTAACTTAGATAACTCCCATTTTTCCTATTGTAAATAAAACATTATCTTTTAAATAAATACTTGTCTACAGTTAATAATACCTTTAGGGCAAAAATCCTTTAGGCAGATTACTTATTCTTACGTTATGTGTATATTCAAAAGTTATATAAATATTTTAAGGCTCTTGATACCTAGGGGTAGGTTATTTTTCAGAAAGGCAATAATAAATTACCCTTCTGTAAGCAGCACTTAGGAGTCTATAAGGTGCAAGACCATTGTCAGCTTAGTATATTTTTTAAAATTCCAGTTTCCTGGTTGGAAAAAAAAAAAATGTCTTTCTATTGAGCTTCTCATCTGCTTTTATTTGATTACTAATATAAGTTGAATATTTTTCTTATGGTTATTAATCCCTGCATTTTTTTTCTTTGTATTTCTAGAAATGCCCTTTACCCATAAAGGATAGTACTTTAAATTGAATAGAACAATATCATTTTTAATGTTAATCCTATATAATAAAAGGGTAATATGCAAATCAAACAAAGGCAGATTGGCAGGTCGCTATGATGCACACTGACCAGCAGGGGGCAGACACTCAAAGCAGGAACTGCTCCCTGGTGGTCAATGTGCTCCCACAAGGGAACCGGAAGCCAGGATGAAGGCTGGCGAGTGGAGCAGTGGTGCCCATCTCATCTCCGCTGCAGCGCTAAAGATGTCTGACAGCCTGCTTAGGCCTGCTCCCCACAGAGACATTTCCTGAGGTCTCCCAGACTGCGAAAGGACACAGGCCGGGCTGAGGGACCCTCCCCCCAACCCTAATGCACAAATGTTGTGCACTGAGCCTCTAGTTTAATTGTAAGATTGTTACATGCTAATTATATTGCCTTTATTATATTTGTTATTATTTTCATCCTATTTACTCTAATAAAACATATTGCACTTATCTGAACCTTTACTGAATTATCTAGTCTCATAAGCCCTTTAATTTATTTCATATTTATTATATAGAGAGATAGAAAGTACCTTAATAAGAATAGGAAATATATCACCACTTATAGATTAATAATTGATTTTGTGTTTTTTGACTTCTAATTTGTTTCTGAGTTAATCAGTATATATGTGCTCATCAAAATATATAACAAATTAACTCATGTGTGTTGATTACCAAAACATTCTAGAACAGTGGTTCTCAACCTTTCTAAAGCCACAACCCTTTAATACAGTTCCTCATGTTGTGGTGACCCCCAACCATAAAATTATTTTCGTTGCTACTTCATGACTGTCATTTTGCTACTGTTATGCATCATAATGTAAATATCTGTGTTTTCCGATGGTCTTAGGCAACCCTCCTAGCGGTTCTCAACCTGTGGGTAGCGACCCACTGCTATAGAGCCTACGACCAACGGAAAACACAGATATTTATGATGCATAACAGTAGCAACATTATAGTTATAAAGTACCAAGGAAAATAGTTTTATAGTTGGGGGTCACCACAACATGAGGAACTATATTAAACGGTTGAAGCATTAGAAAGGTTGAGAACCGCTGTTCTAGAAGAATGTATGTATACTTAAAATCCTAATGAATAGATAATTTTTCCTGATATTATCTTTGTGTTTGTAGCAAGATTTGGGAAAAAATATCCTTGGGCTCTAGTAAAATTATTTCAGAAGTTTTAGGTTTGTATATTAAAGAAAACATTGTCTTTTGAGCAAGTTACTTGAATCATAGTTAAGTGAAAGGTGGTGTGAACCACCTGATAAATGATTTTCTTTTCACATCAAGCAACCCAACTTTCCTGAGCATGCCGACTCTGCGAGGATTTATAGACCCCCGCCTGCCTTCATGCTGGAGTTACCTCAGCTTCCCGCGTGATGCATTCCAACGCCTTCGTCTGGAGGTTAAGGCATTCCTTGATCAGGGATAGATGTGATTGCTACTCAGCCCTGGAATTCTTTATAAAATTCCAGAACGTGGACTAGAAATTGACTTAGAGAATCCAATAAAGTTGCAAGTCTTGGCAGTCATCCAAGCCAAATTTATAGACTGGAAGAAATATGGGCTCTCCATTGTTCTCCTTTTCACCTTTCTGGGGTTTCTTGTGTGTGTGTGTGTGTGTGTGTGTGTGTGTGTGTGTGTGTGTGTGTGTGTGTGTAACTCTATCATTTCGCTGACACCGGAGTGGAAAGAACTATTGAGGGAATCCAGCGAAAGAATTTTCACTTTGGATCTGCCCTGGTTTTTCCGAACTTTGACCCAAACCTGCTCCAAGAGTGACTTTCTCCTCCCTCTGTGGGATGTTGGTATCCTAAAATGAGAAGTTGTTCTGAAAGGGTATTATGCTGGTCTAACAACTGACGTGCACATCTACCAACTAGGTACAACCCCCAAACCCCTTGGCTCTGTGGGAGCCGCCTTCTTGAGGGACCATCGGAGAAAATGTGACCATTTATATTATTTCTTGTTCATTTTATGAAATGGTAATGGGACAAGAAAACAAGCTCCAAAGCCTCCACCGACTTCAGTCTCTGTGTGTGTGTCTTGGTGCTCTCATACGTGGGGATCCACGCAGTCCTCCCATATCTGATGGTTGGAAACTTCTCTTGTTCTTACAGAACGGCTTTGCTGTTGTGAGGCCCCCAGGCCATCACGCGGAAGAATCCACAGCCATGTAAGTACCAGGGACCGCTGCCCATCTCCGAGCGCCACGGTTCCTGGCAGTCACCTGCCCCGTGCATGTCTCTGAAGCCTCTAATTGTTAGCAGATGGAATGAAAAACCTCGCGAGGTACTCCCAGAAGCAGATTTATGGCTTCAGAGATCATATAGCATTTTAAAAAATGCTCTGAACATTATTTATAATGGTTTTCCCGGCTGATTTGCTTTCTTATTTCTCTGTTCTTCTCTATTCCGCAGGGGGTTCTGCTTTTTTAATTCAGTTGCAATTACCGCCAAATACTTGAGAGACCAACTAAATATAAGCAAGATATTGATTGTAGATCTGGTATGTATTCCTGGCCAGAGCTGCATTTTCAATGACTTGAGATAAAAGGGAGTGCATTTGTATTTCTCTGTTAGGTTGTCTTGCTTTTAGCACTTGCAAACAACTGAAGGGCGGGTTTCCTTTGAATGTGGAAACTCATTAAATTCAGGATTGCAGTTCTGAAACCATAAACATTCACGTTTCACTTTCATGGTGTTAACTGCAATTTAATGAGAAGAAGGCGCAGATCAGGGCAACTTTTATGATCCTTAAATGAATTGATACTTCCACAGTTAAAATAACCCAACAGAACCTGAATTTACTTTTCCCTACAGAATATAGACTTTAAGCAGTCAGATGTGCTGGAAAGAATGCTGTTGCTTTGGTAACCAATTGGCCACTTCCCTTGGTTAGCAATCATGTTGCTTGTTGTGCAACAGTGGTATTATTAAAACAAGTCAGCATGTCATTCTTTCTGAAAAGAGCTCGGATCACGGATGCCAGTTTGGGATGACTCCCGGCAGGGACCCCGAGCGATTAAAAGTCACAGGCATTAGATTAGTCTTGCGTTTTAACGTGATCCATTCTTACACAATACAGTTATAATTTGTTTAACAAATGGTTTGTTTAAATGCAGATGACACTTGGCATGTTGTCTATAGTGTATCCATGAATAATGAGCTGGAGATCTGCCCCATACAAAAGGACCAGCCCAGGAAAGGGCGAAGGAGAGCTGACTGGTGATTTATGAGCCCCGTTTTCGGTTTGCCTCCAGTTCATGAGGAGGTGTAATAGGTTGTCTGACAAAGCATAGACAGGAAATGAACCCTGGCATCCAAAGCGAACCTGCTACATCTGCACTTAATTAATTTTTGCAGGTGATAAAAGATTTAAAGGCAAAATATGTTAAAAGTTTTTTTGAAGTGCAAGGCTTAATAGTCGAAATCTTGTTCATATCTGCGCTCATAATTAAATCTTATTGGTAAGTCATGGCCTCCCCGTCCAGCCCTCCGATTCAGTTAAGCAGGCACACCAAAGGGTTGAGAGCACAAACAAAGCCATGTAAAGAAATACTCAGTTAAGTTAAAACGGAGATAAAAGGAAAGGCAGGCTGATAAACATTTCTAGTGCTCAATAAGAATTAACCTTTTCCATGTACAGTCGCTTTGGTGCTGAGATATTGAAAGCCAACTTTGTGTGTTATTTTCCAACCATGCTTAAGTTTCAATGTAAGTCATAGTTCACCATTAAAGAAATGTGTTGAAGGCCTAGATATATTACAGCAGCAAGGTCTTAAAACTTAACAAAAAGGAAGGCACCAGTAGCCATTTTCATATATATATATATATATATATATATATATATATATATATATATATATATATACAAAGTGACACTTGAATAATTATTAACTTGCATATTTATCAGTATAAGAGAGCAAGTTAAAAAATATAGGCTTCTAATACTGTTAAGTTCTGTTAGAAAGATAAGCAGAAAACTTGAAGGAAGAATGGCAGATGAAGACCAAGGACTGTGGGACAAATGGATCTAAGTTTTCTAAATTTGTCAAAATTATGGGGGAAGAAGATTGGTAAACTGTTTATCCTATCCTTAAGAATTTCCTACTATTACTTCCTAAGGAATCTCCTTTGCTACCATTTTGTGGTTCTAAGAAGATGATCAGGAACTGTTGAGTCCCTATGAAAACATGTTTGTGACATCCATACTCTAAAGCAGTGTTTCCCAAACTTTTGACATATGTGTATCCCTCCTATAATTTTCATAGCACTGAGTACCCCTCGTACTCATGAGAACATAGAATTAGGCACAGCTAAGCAAGGTGCAGTGCATATCCCCACCAAACTCTTCCTGTACCCCTGGGGGTAAGCGTATCACACTTTGGGAAACACTGCTCTAAAGTAATGCATTTTGCAATCGACTTAAAAGCTAAACTGTTAGGTTATGATAGATGGATATTTTGCACCTTGAAGGATTTGTCTGTAAAAGTTTTGTTTTGTACATTAATATAAGAATAAAACTGCTGGAGATAATTCCATATGATTTATAAATAAGTTGCTTGGTAGCTCCAATGTAAGATTACTGGCCTTTGATTATGAATTAGCTCCATTATCCAATGATAAAGGATACTGATGTCCCAGCAGGCTGTAGTAGAGAAGTTTTTGTTTCAAATTCTCTGAATATATGAAGTCCTGTCCAAAGGGTTGCCTCTGAGATCACCACCAGCCTGACTTCCAAGGCGTCCAAATCCTGCAGCTGCAGGGATACTTTGAGGAAATTCCCCTGTTCCTCCAGCTGCTGGGAAGGAAGTTTTAAAGTGCCACGTGGCTCAGAGACATCCGTTCTCCCTGGCTGACAGGTCTGTCCTGTACTTTAGCAAAAGAGAAGAAGGGAAGGTTTCCAATGGCCAAAGAACTTCATTTCTAACTCTCCAAAGTCACTGATTTTATTTAACCAGTATGAGCTGGCTCCACAAATTCTTGGGCCACCAGAAGACAAAGCTACTCTGTTGTCCAGCAGCTAGTTTCTGCATTTTTACCTGCTTAGTAAGTTGAGAGTCAGAGGTCTAATTCACCTCCTTTGGGGGTCACGGCCAAGTTCAGAGGCATTGAGTATCTGAACTCAATGATTCTAATTGATCTGTGGAGCATATTCATTCCAGTTCTCCCTCTGGGGATCATTCCAGAAACATTCAGATTGGTGAGGAGAAGAAGCAGGTATATTTGCTTTTCAATTTACAAGCGACTGGTCACTGCGTTCAGGGTTGAACCTGTTCTAAAAGTATGATTTGCCTGCATGACTCAGGAAGCTTTTATTCAATGTGAGCTTCATTTTGAAAATAATGTGTTTGGGGCTTTCTTTTTCTTTAATGTATTTTTATTGATTTCAGAGAGAAAAAGGGGGGCAGGAGAGAGAGAGAGAAACATCAATGATGAGAGAGAACCATTGATCTGCTGCCTCAGGCACACCCACTACTGGGGATTGAGCCAGTAATCCAGGCATGTGCCCTTAATCAGAATCAAACCTGGGACCCTTTAGTCCACAGGCTGATACTCTATCCACTGAGCCAAACCAGGGAGAGCTGGACTTTTTTTTTATTTTTTTATTTTTATAAAAGTCACTTCAATTGTCAAAATGGGGCATTTCCATGTTGATCAAATACCAACATTGACCAAAGAATTGTCACGAGTGTTAATACTAAATATGTGTAAGTGATAACTTTAGCTGATAGAATATATGATTTCTTCAAAGCTATTTTAATATTTTAATATGGCATATTGGTCCTAAATTCTTACATAGGATAAATTTTTGCAGTATATTTTTGAGCATTCAAATATTGAAATGATTATCAGCATTTTCCAGAAAGTCTTATTCAGTACACAAAGTGTATTTTTAGGCTTTTAATGATTCAATTAATTTTATTATTATAGTGCTTTCTCACAATCATCAATGATTTTCTTATATTAACCTAATGTATAAAATACTCAGATCATACCTGAGCATTTATTACCTTATATGACTATTTTGCTTCAAAGAAAGCTGAAACACACACACACACACACACACACACACACATATATATATACACATATACACACACATATATATATACATATACATATATATATTTTTAATATATTTTATTGATTTTACACAGAGAGGAATTGAGAGGGACAGAGAGTTAGAAATGTCGATGAGAGAAACATTGACCAGCTGCCTCTTGCACACCCCCCCCACTGGGGATGTGCCCGGAACCGAGATACATGCCCTTGACCAGAATCGAACCCGGGACCTTTCAGTCCTCAGGCCGACGCTCTATCCACTGAGCCAAGCCAGTCCCGGCCATATACATATATTTTTTTTTCACGGTTAGGTTATATTATGTTGTTAACCAAAACAAAAGAGATATTCTTACCTTTAACTTTTAATGTCTTGAATATAGAATTGATAATTATCTAAATATTTTTAGAATACATTTGTGTATTTCAAAAAAAATGGTCTGTTGAAACTTTTTTCTGCTGTGGACAAGACTATATTTCTTATTCAGAAATGTATACAATAATAAGTGCCCAACATATTTTTTAAGAACAAATGATTTTATATCTAAGGCAGAGGATCATCTTTTGTTTGACATTCTTCAATAAACTTTTAAAACACCACTAAAGAAACAAAAGTAATTAAGGCAATATATTTTTAGTTTTCAAAGTATGGATGCATTTCGGCTCAGAGGAACATTTTTCTTACAATACTAACTAAAAATTCTATCATGTAGTAGAAATGCAAACATTCCTGTTGTTTTTCATGTTCCTTTTTGTTCATCCACTAGGTATCCAGTAGCAATCTCAAAAAGACATTTGGCTGAAACTTCCATTTTTGTTCACATCAAGGAAAATAGTTTTGCTATCTCCCCCATTCCTTTTCTTTGAACATTCAGAAATCTAGGAATGATACATTTTAAGTAAGCTGTTTGTTTTCCTGATGTATATGCCTTGAGCTAGAACAAGATTCTGGAATGATGCACATCTCCCCAATGGTTTGCAATTTCCTAGTTGATTTGGACTCAGGTGCTACATAAAAGGGAGAGAGGATTAGTACAAGCTCACAGTGAGGAGAACAAGCTCAGTGCAGGCTTTCAGACCACCACAGGGAGGCCTTGGTGGTGTCTAGTGAGGGAGTTCTGGGCTGGAGGTTGAAGTGGAGACAAGTTATATGAATGTCAATAAGGAGCAATAATGACCACCAATCTTACTTCACAGGTTTGCTAAGAGGATCAAAGAGATAATGAATGTAAGTTAACAATATAATGGTTATGAGTTTGGCCTTTGGAGTAAGAGCTGGATTCAAGACCAGTTTTGCAACTCTTTTTCTGTATAGGCTTAGTAAATTACTGAAACTCTCAGAGTCTCAGTTTATATATATATTTTTTAGAAATTAGCAATTGTTTCATTTACTAACTTAAAATACTATAGAAATAATGCCATATGCATTAAGTAAGCCATGCAAGGTATTTAATGTAGTACCTGGCCCCAAAATTTTAGGAATCATTGTTGAAAATAGTATGATGATTCTTTCTGATATAAAATTAAGTACTATGTATTATAAGTATAATATATAGTTATGAGTGACCAAAATTTTGTAGAAGAGAACTTGAAACTATACATGTTGCATACACATATAGCACTAATATTATATTGAATACAGATATATAGATTGTTCACTTTTAAGAGTCATCTTATTTTTGTTCGGGAGGTATTGGGATGTATATTAATTGAGGTATTTTAGTGAAGGCATGCTAAAAATGCTATTAGCTTCATTTTTCCCATTTCTTTGGCACTTCCATCATATATCTATATCATAAAACAATTTTAAAAAAGAACTTAAGTTTTGAATTATCATTTACAAATGTTTGGAGAATTTTTTATCTATTAAAATGACAAAGGTTTTTTGTTGCTTGTTTTTGGAAGAGGGAATGGTGTAGGGAAAGAAAAAAGAGGAGGAAGGAGGCTGGGCAGAGAGCCATGCTATAATATTAAAATTAGGCACATTGGACAAGATTGCATAAAGCCCCATGCCATCTTTCTGCTTCAGACCAAATGATTTAAAAGCTAATGAGCTCATGCTCCTGTGTCTTTGACTTGCCGTCACGATTTCACCAAAATAAAGTATGAAGTCCTTTTTGCATCTGGCATCTCTTTTGAAGTGATTCTAACTGCTGAGGGATTGCTAACTGAACTGAACGCTTCAAGAAAGCCAATTTACTCAGCTGGTTGCAAAGCCTTTGACCTTAATGGTGGGACTTGGCAAATCAATGCATACACGTATGTTTAGTGTTCTGTCAAGAATTGCAAAAATGCTCTGTAAGCCATAGATCCTTCTGCAAAATACTAGTTTGTAGTTTAAACATTAGTCTTTCTTCAGAGGCCAATGAGGCTAGTTAATTAAGCCTGAGGGGTTATGAACTGTTGGCAGTTAATAAGTCATAAAATTCCTCCATAAAACAGGATGCGAGATTCCATCACTGAAGCAAAGAGTACAAAGGGCCGGTGTATAAATATCTAATTGTACCAAAGGACTGGGCTTTCTCAATGACTGCTCATCTGGAGTCTCCAGGGCATGTTCGCTGTGGTTTCCTGATTTTTAGAAGCCAGTTTAAAAAATGAGTGCATTAAAGGGTAATTTGCCTGAAAGTTCAGGAAGTAAAGGGGGTGGTGTGGAAGCAAGCTGAAGGGGAGAGAGAAAGAGGACATAGGAAAAAGACAGAAAATGAGAAGGAGGGTGGGGTGGAAAGACAGGGAACTCAAAATCAGAAAAGTTGTCTCCATGCAGAGTTAGACATGACTGTATTTGTCATCTGTTTTCTTTTCCCTGTAGGATGTTCACCATGGAAATGGTACACAGCAGGCTTTTTATGCTGACCCCAGCATCCTGTACATTTCACTCCATCGCTATGATGAAGGGAACTTTTTCCCTGGCAGTGGAGCCCCAAATGAGGTTCGGTTTATTTCTTTAGAGCCCCACTTTTATTTGTATCTTTCAGGTAATTGCATTGCATGATTACCCATAATTTTCTTGTCCTTTGCTGGTGTTTTAAATTACACGAGATTACTGACTTGTCCCACGGGAGCAAGCACCAGCGCAGAACAAGTGCATAACCCAGAGCACTGGTTGTCAAGCAAGGGTGGGCTGGTTTGACATTTTGTTTGATGTTTATTTCAAGAGCTCACATGTGTTTGTTTTCCCCTCTTCTTGCTTTCTTCCTTGTGCCCTCATCTCTCGCCGTGGTGTGATTTTTCTCTTCCCAGATTGGAACAGGCCTTGGAGAAGGATACAACATAAATATTGCCTGGACAGGTGGCCTGGATCCCCCCATGGGAGATATTGAGTACCTTGAAGCATTCAGGTTGGTACTTCTTTCTATGAAAGTGGCAAATTAGAAAACAAATGTCAATGGAAACACCAAACAGAAAACAGAAGTGTAAATTTTCAATTAAGGTGAATAGTTAAAGGAGCTTTCCATCAAAGCTGCAACTATTATATGGTTTGAGGACATGAATATTGCTACAAAGCAGTAAGGAATACACGTAAGAAAAAAAAAAAAGGTAACATCAACATCTAGATGTATCTTTGTGAATATCTTCTCCCATTCAGTATATTGTCTATGTTTTGTTGATGGCTTCCTTTTCTGTGCAAAAACTTCTTTAATTTGATGTAGTCCTACCTGTTTATTTTTCTTCTTATGTTTTCCTTGCCAGAGTACCAGGGTGTGTGTGTGTGTGTGTGTGTGTGTGTGTGTGTGTGTGTGTGTATAAAACATTACAAAAAGCAATGTCAAAGAGTTAACTGTTTATGTTTTCTACATGTGTCTGTCCAGTTGCCCCACACCATTTATTGAAAAAACTGTTTTTACTATATTGTAAAATCTTGCCTACTTTTCCTATACAACAAAGAGGTAATATGCAAATTGACCATCACTCCAACACACAAGATGGCTGCCCCCATGTGGACACAAGATAGCCACCACAAGATGGCTGGCAGGGGAGGGCAGTTGTGGGTGATCAGGCCTGCAGGGGAGGGCAATTGGGGGGAACCAGGCATGCAGGGAAGGGCAGTTGGGAGGGACCAGGCCTGCAGGGGAAAGCAGTTGGGGGCAACCAGGCCAGCAGGGAAGGGCAGTTGGGGGCAATCAGGCCAGTGGGGACAGGCAGTTAGGGGTGACCAGGCTGGCAAGGAAGGGCAGTCAGGGGGCAATTGGGCTGGCAGGGTAGCTATTATGCATTGATCAGGTGCAGGGGAGTGGTTAGGGGGTGATCAGGCTGGCAGGCAGAAATGGTTAGGGGCAATCAGACAGACAGGCAGGTAGGCAAGTGGTTGGGAGCCAGTAGTCCTGGATTGTGAGAGGGATGTCCGACTGGGATGTCCACCAGGATCAGGCCTAAATGGGCAGTTGGACTTCCCTCTGGGGTCCCAGATTGGAGAGGGTGCAGGCTGGGCTAAGGGGCAGACACATACACAGTCATTCATGAATTTTGTGCCCCCAGACTCTAGTTTATAGATTAAATGACTAGATAGGCAAGGGTTTATTTCTGGGTTCTGTATTCTGTTCCATTGATCTATGTATGTTCTTATGCCAGTACCATGCTGTTTTGATTACTATAGATATATAATATAGTTTGATATCAGGTAACAAGATACCTCTAACTATTCTTTCTCAAGATTGCTGTGGTTATTCGGGATTCTTTCTTGGTTCCATATAAATTTCAGAATTATTATTTTTAGTTCTTTGGAAAATCTCATTGGTATTTTGATAGAGATTTTATTGTCTATAGATTGTTTTGGGTGGTGTGAACATTTGAATGATATTAATTCTTCCTATAAATGAACATGGTATATCCTTCCATTTATTTGTATCTTCATTATCTCATAGTTTTCCAAGAATAGGTCTTTTACCTCCTTGGTTAAATTTATTCATAGGTATTTAATTATTATTAATTAAAAATATAAATTATAAAAGTCCTGGTTGTAGTTATATAGGCATATTGGCCAATGGCCCAGTCATGCTCTCCCTGCAAAAGAAAAAAAGAAAAAGAAAAAAAGAGGAAAACAAAAAGATTTCATTATTAAGTAGTTCTGGAAAACTCTGCTATTATAACATACAACATGATTTAGAATGCATCCATATTAGCATCCATATTAGAAGCCATATTTTTGCGAAATTTACCACTTACAAATTCCCAAGGAAAAAATCCTGTTGATGTATTTAAAACTGAAGGAAACAATAGGGCAGTGTTTTAATAAGCAAAGTTTTGGTGGGTTCATGTTGTTCTATGTACCATGCATACTTCATTTTCTAATTTGAGTGATTTCTCATTCAAGATCCAGCGCAGGAAAAATTATTAAAAATTTCCATTTTCAAGAGAACGCATTAAAAATAAATATATTTGAGATATAATGGACAATTCTAGTCATATTCCAGATTTGTATTTTGGGAGAAAATATATATTATTATTGAACAAAGCAGAAATATGTTTATTTACTGTAAAACTTGGGTTGTCCATGAAGATTTTATGTTAATTAGCAGTAAAACTAAAAAATTATATTAAGAAACCATAGTGGTTTCAATGTTAAGAATTCCTTTTTTTTTCTTCTAAGTGTATTGATTTTCAGAGAGAGGAAGGGAAAGAGAGAGATAGAAACATCAATGAAGAGAGAATATTGGTTGAGTTGCCTCCTCACACCCTCTGCTGAGGTTGGAGTCCCCAACTCAGGGCATGTGTCCTGTCTAGGAATTGAACAGTGACCTTCTATTTTATGGCTCAACACTCAACCACTGAGCCAAGCCAGCTGGGCTACATTTTGTACCTCTTGTTCTCACATGGCAAAATGAGTGGTTGAGATTTTTTTTAAAGAACTCTTTTGAATATTAACAACTTCATTAAATAGTTTGAAAACAGATATTAAGTATATACTATTTTTTTTATTGAAATGGTAAGTGACAAGTGCCCCTGAAATTTACTAAATGTCCTCAAGAATGGCACCTTCTCTTTGCCTATAAAGTACACACATATTTGTAAACTTTTCTAAACTCCCTGGTACAGTCACCATATCTAAGCTTAATTAGAGGAGCAGCACTATTATTTAGCCAAACTGCAGAAATGTAAAATTGTGGCTTTTAATTTTCATAGTTATTTAAGAACCATACTTAAATCATAGTAATTCTTTTCATTTTAAACTCTTTGCTATTTCATGTATATGGCTAGCAAAACTTGTGAACTTGTTATGAAGGAATCAACAAAGTAAGTCAGGTTCAATTCTGGTCAAGGACACTTGTCTTGGTCGCAGACTTCTCCCCTGCCTCGGCTCAGGGCATGTACAAGAGGCAACCAATCAATGTGTTTCTCTCACATAGATATTTCTCTTTGTCTTTTCCTCTCTCTAAAAATCAATGGGAAAATATCCTTGGGTGAGGATAGATATATAGATATATATAGATATATAGATATATATATTGATTGATTGAACAGATATTATATGCTAGGCACTGTGGTAAGCATGTGAAATTCAGAACTGACTGACTTTTAGAGAACATAATAGAGGTGATACTTTATGTACTAGAGAACAGATGTCCTTAGACACAGAGAGAGACGCCTTTTTGAAATGTTTCAGGAAAGGCTTCATCAAGTATTGTTTAAATAGTGCTTTCAAGGTTGAGTGGGCATTTTCAAGGGGAAAAGGAATTGGAGTAGGGCAGATTCATACTGGCAAGGAGGAGAGACTGAAAATCATGGAGTTATGAACTAGTCATGCTCTGTTTGTTCAAGGCCATTAGGGTGGGGCTTGTGTGGCCAAAATATGAATAATACTTCATAAAGTGTTTTTCAGGCAAAGAATTGTCAATCTAAATGTACAAATTTCTTTCTAATATGGGGCCTTAATAAAATACTAGTATCCCAAATAATTTTGTTGTAGTATTATTTATCCTTCTTAATACAACCATTGTTTCCCCAGTATGGAAATTAAAGGGCCTTCTGGCTTCTGTGTATGGGTGCAGGATATAGAGGTGGTGAGGGGTGCACTAAATGGTGCCTTTTCTTTTTTCTTAAATTTTAGTTGTTTCTGGACTGTGCTGAGTATCTTGGAAAGGATGGCCTCTCTCTGTGAAACTACGTTTATAGTGGGATATAAGATGGCTGCTCATTTTCCCAGCCAAAATGTGTTATATTGCCCTGTGATTTCTATTTTGTCTATGGCAAACCAAACCTTTTCATGTTTGTTATGAGTTTAAATTTTAAAAATAATTTTAAAACCATAATGGAATATCTAGATTAGTTCAGATAACTAGTTATTTCTTCCATGCAGTTAATCATTCATCCCTGAAATAATGGAAGGATATGCTTAAGATTTTTCACAAGAGTTTTCAAAATATTCAGTAATATCAACTATCTCTAGGTTCAACTAAAATATATTTCAAGGTTACCATTTTACAAAATAATTATGGCTATTTTTATTGAGGTCTTACATGCCAAGTCCTACATTAGAAATTTTATAGACATTATGGCTGATTCTTAAGTGGTTTGTGTGAACCACAAAACTACTAATTGGAAGGGTCATGATGTGAACTCAGTTTATGGCTCTGAGATCTTTGCTCTTTTTTTCATGCCAGCCTGCTACTCTTCTGCTGCTCATGATTCAGAAAACTTAGGAGCAGTAGAGCACAGTGAACTTTGAATGAAACATAAGCCCTCTCCCCCCTGACCCAAGTCACAAATGCTTAGTATGTACCATGGCAAAGAAGAGCTATTAAACATGGGCTGAATGAATCAATGAATAAACGAATGTGATGGAAGAGGGTAGACATTGTGCTGACTCTAAGAGAAGCATTGGAAACACCTGGTATTGGATCTACCAAAAGTCTGAAGGAGTTATGTCAAACCTATTACTTGGCCCCTGGAAGAGTATTGTTCTCAAAGAACTCTGAACATCCGTTCATTTGCTTATAACAATGTCAGGTGTCTTCTCTTGATTCAACAAATAATTTAGCTGAGTGCCTGCTCAGTATTCTCTGTTCCAATCACTTCAAAAGATTGTTAGACTTGCTTTGTTTTATCCATAATCTCTAAGTGATCACTGGATAGGTTGTTTTAAAGATTACCTATTTGATTAAGAGTCCTGAAAATGTTAAAGTGATTATTTATATATGGACATTTAAATAGTTTGTATATCATGGGCATGAGACAATATGTATCTCATGCTTCTAATTAAACCTAAGGAGAAAAACAGCGCCAGGGATTGAAAAAAATGAGTAGTCATTTCCAATGTAGAAGCAAGATATTAGTAGTTCTTGAAATTCTCCCTATTTCATTGAAAAACTGAGTAAATGAATGTTATTCTTGTGTGACTTTT